GTTGCTTGTAATACCATATTTCTTATGCTATCTATTTTTTGAAACAAATAAGATATAAAGCCTATTGCAGAAAATATTCTTTTAATTTACCAGAAAAAAGCAGTGTGCCAACAAGATAATGACGATGATGAGGGTTTTTTGGATGAAGATGACGAAGCAGAATATGATGCACTTCTTATAAATAATACATCAGATCTTGTTGCAGCTATGGCTTTAGTTCTCGGATACGATTTTGTTCCATATTTCAAAGAGTATATTAATTATATTGCCAAATATTACGTATGCTCTTACATTTTATAATTACATTGGATTATGCTGTATTATATTTAGTTTTCTCAATTTTATTTTACTTTTTAGAAAAAAACAAAACCGATTTCTGAAAGATCTATGGCAATTGGGTGTCTCGGAGAAACCACAATCGGCTTAAAAGATGGGATATCTGAGTTTACCGAAGTAAATTGATTATTTTATAATTTGGAATTTAAGTGTATATTGATTATGAAATTAATTTATTTATTTATTTTTACCTTTCATAGCAACTTTTGCCTTTATATCTAAAAGCTTTGGCTGATGAAGATGAGGAGGTCCGAAGCAATGCTGCTTTCGCAATTGGGCTTCTTTGTCAATATACGCGTTTGGACATTAGCAGGTATATAATCAATTCATTAATTGTACATATTTTTAGGTAATTACTTATTGATCTCTTCATTTAATTCATAGCCGATATGGGGACATACTTTCTGCATTGCATCCTTTGTTTACAGGACAATCAGCAATGAATGTCACTGATAATGCATGTGGGGCTGTATGTAGAATGATTATGGCATGCCCGCAAGCGGTTCCTATGGACCAGGTAATTTTACAAATTCTTGCTTACAAATTTTAATAATGTTTATGATTTTGAATAAATTAGTAGCCAATATTCATTATTATTATTATTTCTGAAGGTGCTAGAAGCAGTATTGAGAACGCTACCATTAAAACATGATTTTGAAGAAAATGAGCCCGTTTTTAAATGCATATGCACTCTTTTCCGAGCCAATAATTCATTTGTAAGTGAAAATAAACCAATAAATAATAAAATAATAGATTTAATTAATTTTTTATTTTATGTACAAATAGGTCTTTAATCATGTTCCTGAGTTATTGAATATTTTTGCAAAAGTTATTTCTCCACCTGAAGAACAACTTACGGATCAAACTCGCCAAGAGATAATGGAAATTATTCAAGCACTTAATCAGAAATTTCCTGAGGCAGTCCTTAGTTCATCATTAGGCGAATTAATACAATTTTAAAATTTTATATTATTACTACTATTATACATATTAGAATATACATATAATTCAAGCATATTGTTATAACTCATTGTTAGGCCATATTTTGGTTTTCGTAACCTGAGTAGGTGACTTTTTAAATTGATTTATATATATATATATATGACGTTGTTAAATCACACCACTGATGTGCAACACCATATTGGTTTTGATAACAAAAAAAATTCCAACACCAAAATTACTAATGTTTGATACATTATATATATATTTTTTTTGAAAATTTAATATAAAGTTTTATTAGGCCTGTCAGGTCACTTTATGAGAACCAAAAATAACTTTGATACAGTACAATCTTATTGTATTAAATTACTATACAAATTATCGGTGTAGAGAAGCTATCGATTATGTTATAGCCCGTTGAAAAACATTATCTGAAAATTATAATCAGTTCCTTATCATTTCACCGACAATCACTTCTAAGTAGAAATGGGCAAATTTATTATGTATTCTTATTTAATATTACTTAACATTTAAGTAATAATAAGTCATTCTACGCGACAAAAATTTACATGTTCGTTTAATCTCAGCTTTAATTAATTATTTCTTACCGTTATCATCATATGGTAGTAATAAGTAAGAATTTACTTAACATTAGTAATATTGTTTAATATTAATAAATTACTTTGCCCATCCCTACTTCAAAGACACCTTAGTGCTTGTTCAGACAATTAATCCATCGACAAGCTTATTTTACTGAAATCTAATTCACCGACAAGCTCATTTCATAGACAACTTATTTCATTTCATATACAAGTCTATATCTTATAAATTACCTAACCATAGATCAATTTTAACCCTATTTCTAATGATAATAATATCTGTTTACGAAATAAGCTTGTTTATGAAAAATTAAATATCTGTGGAAAAAAATAGAAAATATATTGATTAGCATTTTATCATTTTAATGAAAACTTCTATTTGAAAATAGATAACGTTGACTAACTCTTTTTTTTACATCGTTATTATGTAATCAATATTTAATCCTTGTCGGAGCTTTTCGGAATTTGTCTTGAAATTTTTACGTTCCGTATCGGAATTTTTCGGAAAAATATTAAAATTAATGTAAACTTTTATTGGTCGCTTTTGTTACACAGATGTTACACGAATGTATATACCAATTTTGCTCAAGTATAATACGGTTATTATACCATGCATATCCCTAATCTAATGCTGTAATTGGTGGTCATAGTTATTTTTTTCAATTCAAAATATTTGTTTTGTTTATACTCGAATTGATACGTATCTAAACGGCAACGTGAAATGTTGATTAATAATTAACATTTTTTTGCTATTCAAACCATATAAGCTAAAGCGTATACTGTACTCCTTTTTAAATTGGTAAGATCTATAAATTTCTGCTAAAGTATAGAGTATAGAGAAGCCTCTGTCTTTGCCAAATGAAGCTTAAAAATGTTTATGATATGATGCTTAAAAATATTTATTGTATGATGTAATTATGATAATTTTGTATAAACATACATATAAAATTCAATACAAAATTTAATATTTTTGAATTACTTCTTTCAAGGATGGCCAAGGTCTTCACCCAAGCGAATCGTATTTACACTAATGTTTATCAAAGTTATCCCATGCTTACATCAGCTTGCACCAATGCATTTCTGGCTTCAATAGCCGATATATTGGCTCAAAATATTACATTAACAAAAAAAAAGTATGAAAATCCTATTCTTACACCAAAATCTGAGTTATCAACTTCCACAAAATCTTTACATAAAATAGAAGAAAAAATAGAAAAAAAATTACCATCATCAATTCCTACAAATGAAAGTTTTAATTACATTCGCACTTTAAGATTTTCATCTTATGGATTTTTAATTGCTCCAGTTGTTCATACTTGGTTTTCTTTCTTGGACAGAAGATTTCCACTGCCTCAAATAACCATTAGTCCTCAAATAAACATTAGTCCTCAAATAAGCGTTAGTAAAAATTTGTTAGCTACACAGATGAATGTAGTAATTAAACGACTTACCGCAGATCAAATTGTATTTGCTCCTTTCGGTTTGTTTTTATTTTTTAACATTATTGGTTTGCTTGAAGGTCATGATATAAATGAAATTAAAGAAAAATTTCATGAGGTAATGAATTTATTAGTTACTAAATTGATTATTATTAAATCTTTATATTGCTAAAATTTTTTATTTTATAATATTCTTAGGCATATATTCCAGCTTTAAAAGCAAATTATGCTGTTTGGCCAATTGTTCAACTAATTAATTTTAGATTTCTTCCTTTAAGATATCGGTTGCCTTTCGTTAGTTCTATTGGTATTATATGGACATGCTATCTTAGTTTATTGAATAGTACAACTTCTTAAAAGTATCAGAGAATTTGTTTTTTTTTAAAAAAAATATAATCTGTATTTACAATTATTATCAAATTAATTATTTAACAAAGTATGTAAATTATTACTAAGTTATGAACCTTTAATTTATAACTCTCGCATATCGATATGAATTGATTAAATAATTGTTCAGACTTTCAGTGCATGGTTTATATACACTATGTCCGATACTCTAAAGTATTACTAGTATTCAAGCTTTTTATCTTCGTATTTTTCAGATACATTTTTAACTTCTTTGAATAATCAAATAATAACGCTATATAAAAATTGAGTTTTAAAAAACTGTTTGTAACATGATTTCTCTGACATAATTTCAGGATTATGTAAATCAAGGATTCTTCTATCGTTAGACACGCCAAATGTGTATTTAAGATTTTTATATTGTGATATGTTTAGCAAACCGGAAACACTTTGCTTCAGCACGTAGCAGAATTTCTTATTAGTGCTCGTTACTGTATTATGGTGACATAAGTACAGTGATCATGAAGTTTGACTGAAATACTTTTTCGTGGCGATAAACGGATCCTTGAATATTATGCAACATTCGGTGCATACGATGCAGATAGATGCGATTCAAAATTGTACTACTGTATCAAACAAAGTCTAAAGGTGCTTACTGCACATATGCATAATATCCTATATCCGGGTTTATTGTATCCTTGACGAACTTGAATACCCTTATACGTACGTAGTTTTATTTTCTGCCATTATTTGTTTATGTATAAATTATATACATTGCTGCGGTTAAACAATCATTAAAATTTTTCACTTCGATCCCTAGAATTTTAATATTTATTCGATAAATAAAGGATCACTTATTAAAATATGGAAGATTCAAAAAAATGGCTCGAAAATGCTATTTGTAAAGGGCAGATTAAGTTTTACAACTATACTGAATTTTCTTCCATTGAAAAAATTGGTGAAGGGGGATTTGGAACTGTGTATAAATCTGAATGGAAAGATCATAAATCAACCATTGCACTTAAAAGATTAAACATGAACATGGATATTCAAAGATTTGTTAAAGAGGTAGAGAATATTTACTATAATAATAACGCAAGGACATTATAATACAGTATAATAAGTATCATTAATCATTGATTGTGTATTCAGCTTAAGCACTTACAGAAAGTCTGTAAGCATCCAAATATTATTGAATTTTACGGAGTCACTCGAGGTTAGTAAACAATAAATTTTACATATCGATATAAAACAAATAATTATAAAAAATTATATTCATAATAGAACAATCAAATGGATTCTGTATGGTTTTACAATTTGCAAATAATGGAGATTTACGTGAATATTTAAAAAAAAGATTTTCAATGCTTGAATGGACTGACAAATTGCGAATAGCCCGTGAAATATCAGATGGCCTTGTATTCTTACATAAAAATAATATTATTCATCGAGATCTCGTAAGTATTAGCATATTTGATTATGTTGCCAGATAGAAATTAAACAATTATATATACAATTCACAATATATAAATAATCATTTGCTATTCTAATTTTTTTAATAATGATAATGCTTTTATTTGAAATAATATAACTTTTAGCATTCTAAAAACATTCTGGTTCATGAAGAAGAAATGTTAATTGCTGATTTTGGCTTATCAAAAGATGAGACATCAAAAACCTCAAATGCTAGCATTCATGGAATGCCGGCATACATTGATCCACAATTTTTCGCAAACGTTTCATATAAACGTAACAAGAAATCTGATATCTATAGTTTTGGAGTAATTCTTTGGGAAATATCAAGTGGCCGATCACCATTCCAATCATTTGAAAATAGATATCATCTTCCTTTCCACATATTAAACGGAAATAGGGAAATACCCGTTAAAGGCACACCACACTCGTACATTCAACTTTACCAAAAATGTTGGGACTATGATCTGGGCCAACGTCCAACAATGGAAGAAGTTTCTAAAGAACTTGTGGCTCTAAATTTTTCAGAGCGATTGGATTCCTCCAATAATTCAATTGAAATCATAATTCATCATGAAAGTGAGCTGAAAAATATTATTTTCATTGTAACCTATTATTTTCGTTTTATTAAGTTTTTAATAACAAATTTTTTATTTAAATAATCTAATGGCAATATACGCACAAAAGATAATGACTTATATTTAGGCAATCAATCTAATGACGTTACATATCCAGATAATACTCCTAAAATCTCAAATTCAGACATACAATTATTAGAAATAATACGACCTCTAAAACAAACTTTAGAACCAATAGACGACTTATGTATGGAATACTTCATGAACGAAGGAATATGGGTATTACAACCTCGCACACGTGATGTGCGAGAGCGGGGAATCGGGGTTTTTATACGAATTTTAATTGATTTATCACATGCATTTTATGTTACATCGCTTTTTTTTTTTTTTTACCAAAAAAGTCACTTGTGTAATTTTTCGATTTCGCCATAACTAGTTATTCAGAAATGCATCCTAATTTCCCCCACCACTTCTGATTGGGCGCTGTAAATATTGTCTTTGATTGGGCGGAGTAAATTACATCTCCGTTTGGCGTCGCCACAAAAACCAAAATAATAACGATAATAATAGATTATTAATTAAGAACGAATATATTACTGTCAAACATTATCAAAAAATTTTTTTATGTTTTTAATCGCCAAATTATTTTTATGAAAATTAAACTCCAAATTTTTATAGTTTAAACTTTAAAATACAAATCAATAATTGAGCTTTAAAATTTTAAATATTTTATTAATTCATTAGAAATGTACAATAATCTATTATATTTTACAAGATGGCAATTGGAATAAACGAATTTGAATGTTCAGCAGGTTTTTTTGCTTTGATTAAATAACTTTAATTTTGCAGAAATTTTGTTTAAATGCAAAAAAAATAAACATGAAACAAAAAAAAAATAATAATAATACTTAAATCAATATTTATTTTGTTTTGTAATTTTTACATTTGGTGCTATTTGATGAATTCTTAACTTATTATTAATGGTAGCTTGTGGAACAGATTCTATTCTTGCAATTTTTTTTTGTTCTATTTGGGTAGCATGTCAAAGAGTTATTCATAAATTGTAAATATCTTCTTTCATATTTTTCTATTCTTCGTTAATTGCAACAAGTTCTTCTTACAATTTTGTAAGTTAGATATCTTTATTATTTTTTTGATCTACAAGAAGATTATAAGAAATATGAGAATCAAAAAAATCTAATTTAATAAGTAATTGATCATCTTCTGTATCCTCATTATATGCATAATTTCATGCTAAAACAGCAAATATATGTTTGCATAGTAATTGTTATAATTGAAAATTATAACAATTACAAATATAAAAAGCAGTATCAGAACAATTTTCAATATTTGTAAGATCTTTTTTTCTAACTGAATATTCTAGATTATCATTTGTTAAAGAACATATTATTCAAAGATCTGGTTGGATATTGTAAATATTATTGTTATTAATATATGTAGTTTTTACAAGTTTACAAACTTATTGCTGATGCTGCTGAAAATTCATTCTACTAATTTTTAATTTATTCTAAAAGATAGAAAAATTCATATTATGAAGTACAACTTTTATAAGAAGATATATTTTGCTATTAAATCATTGATCTTAAAAATAAGAATTAAGATTAGTAAAATTAGATAGATATTTTTTTGACAAACTATTAACTCTATTGATAAATACTGAATAAATTAAAAAAAAATTAAAAATTAAAAATAATTAATAAATTAAATAAATAAATTAATCATAAAGTCTTAAAATTAAATATAATACAAAGTTTTAGAATAAAAAGCAATATTAGAAAAAGATGTGGAATACAGAAAGCTCTAAATACTTTATCAAAAAATTAACCAAGGAATACAGACAAGAAATTATCTAAAAAGGTAGTATATCAGTACTAGAATTAGCAGATCATTTTGATGAAATAGTAACAAAAGCTATGAATATAGATAAGAATATTATTACCTTAGCTAGGCAATAGCATACTATATTAAAAAGAACTGTTTTTACAGAAAGAGTTGATAAAGTCAAAGAAGTTTTAGAAAAAGAGTAAGTACTAGTAATTACATAACAAGAAATCAGAAATAAAATAATAGAAATGAGAATGGAGAAAGTATTGATAATAGAAATAGAGAATGCTAAAGAAGTAAAATCAGCTGAATCTATAAAACAAAATATACAAGATCAAGAAAAATCAGATAGTATAACTAATAAAGTAAAAAAAAATAAAGTACTAGAGATTATAAAAAATGTCTAACTAGTAGAAAATAGTATAGAAGTCAATTTATATAAAATTAAGGGTAGGGGTGATGTAGATCATTTTTACTAGTAATTATATTACAAATCATATGATATCATATGATTTACATATAAAATCGTGTTTATGTTACACAAATTTCTTATATAAATCTTGTGTAACCTAGGAAACTCATAAGCAAACCTAGGAAAACTTAGTAATATATAAAGTAAGTTTTTTTTTAAATAAAATAAATTATAAAATTTTATTAAAATAATTAGAAGATTTAGATTTATATACTATTAAATTTTGGTAATAATTGAATATAATACTAAAAAGTTTTATTAGTAATATATATTTTTATATATATATAAAATATAATTTGTTAGGAAAATCATATGACAAATGATCTACATCACCCCTACCCTTAAAAATATTATGAAATAGTAAACTTCAGTCTAGAGATCAGAATCTTGCTTTTGGATTTTAATAGAATACTATAAATATATAATATCATATTCTATATTATACTGCATTATATAATACAGAGCCAAAAAAATATATATTTATATATTTCTAGTTACAATATCTTATTTTAAATTATAAAATCCTTATATAAATATAAAACTTTATATTTTTTTCATATGATTTTAGTAATTAATATTTGCTTTATTCAAATATATATATATAATTAAAAATTAAAGTACAAAAATTATTTTTTTTTTGAATTCGGCAGTCTAGCCACAACTTTATTTAAAATTTTTATAATACAAAAGCTAACAAAGAACTAAAAAAGCCTTATACACAGCAGTATTTTTTGTTTTCTAAAATGTAGCTTTCTTGGTTTCTATACAGATCAAGTAAACAACTTGCTATAATAAGTATTTCTCTTTCTTTACTCTTTTATATATTTCAATACTTTAATAGTAAAGATTAATAATATAGAACTCATAGTCTGTTCTAACTACAATAGCAAGTTTCTAATTATCCCTTCTAAAAGTCTACTTTAAAGAAACAATAAAGAGAAACCTAACTATAACAATAAGAACTAAAAATA